AGGAGCTTCAGAAGTTTTCATCGATCACTAACATCGATCACATGTGATCAATGTCATAATACAGGACAACCACATCGATCATCAGCATCGTACGATGTAATAGACCCGAGAGGACCCAATCTCAGCATCGATCATCCACTTTGATCATCAAGTGACCGATGTTAAGCACCAGAAGTCTACATCGATCATCCACATCGATCACATATGATCGATTTTGGTCTAATCCGAACACCTTTTATTTACAAGTTTGACATTCTTCTAGGGATTTTGTCATTTAGTATAAATAGGCTTGAACTAATAATTTTTAGCCAAGTTTTGTTCTTGCTTAGTTTCTTAAGAGTTTTTCAGTGTTTGTAAGAACAAATCTCTCTTTTTAATTAAAGTCTTGTATTTGATTTATTTAGTCTTCTCTAATCACTCTCTTAATCATGTTTAACATATTTTCCTCTTGTGATTTGATGTTATTCATGATGATGAGTGAATAGTCACTTTTAGGGTTTTAGATGTTGTAGATTATGGGAATTTAGAGGGCTTGATTAGGGTTTGTTATTGTTTAATTAGGTTGATTCTACTCTATTAATCTGTGTTTAGGCTAGATTTATCTTGATCACATGAATCTAGATTTAGACTTCATCTTATGCCCACCAAGTGTTTGGTGAAATGCTGATCTTGTTTAATAGAGGATTTGCTTGTCTTAGCTCAAGAGATTGACTGTGACGAATTTTGGCTTGATTAGAGTTGGTTTTTGCATGCTTGTTGATTGTTCTAGCACTAATGAGAGTTAGTTCTTGTTACAGTGATTAGCAAAGGGTTATTTATCAAGAGATTCAACTTAACTTGCTTAATTGTGAACTCTATGCTTAGGAATTATCATTGCTTGCTTGTTTGCATTGTCAATGATGTTTGATAACAACTTAGTCTTGCTTTTGAATTCCCCAAAGTCAATAAGCACATATAGGATCCTTACTTTTAATCTTTGAATTTCGAATTTGCTAGTGTTCTGTTTTTGCTTACTCTGTTATGCACTTGATCATTGCTAAGTATTGCTTTCTTGAGTGTTGCTTAGTTCAATGTTCACTTAGGTTGATAGTTTAGTTGTGTTAAACAACTCTCTTCTTTGATTCACTTGACTTAAAGCATTAGGCTCCTAATCCTAGTGGAATCTGGCTTAAACCCTTAGATTGACATAAGCCATATGTTGTGCTACAACTGATTAGTACAAGGGTGATTGAGAAAGGAATCAAAACTCCAGTATCAGTTCACAGTCAATGGACACAGAGTCAAGCCATACTTAGCCTCAGAGGTTCTGGCAGTGGAGACTGATCTTAGTCTCCTTGATGTTCCCACCTAGCAAAGTAAAGAAGGTCAAACTAAGAGACCTTAAACAAAGCACACTTGGGAGGTAATCGCATACCTATCTTGGTAATTATGCTTTCCTTTTGCTTTTGATATGTTTGTTCAGTGTTTTCAGGTGGGAAAAAGTAGTTGAGTTGGTCAGAGAATGTGGAAAACCAAACGAAACCAAAGCTTTGTTTCTGCATTGAGGAGCCATATAGAGGAGGACTTCTGCAAAATCTGCCCGATGCAGTTTATCTCGGGGAAGACGCAGTCCATTCATCAAGATCGATGCATGATGGCGATCATATCGGGGACACATATCGAGCAAAGCCTCGAAGGCCCTGCTTGATGCAATTGCTCCTTGAAGTGCCATATCCGTAACTCGGACAGCAGGCCGTACACCGAGCAAGAAGCCCAAGGGTGATCATATATGGGTGCCACAACGAGGAAAACATCTGAGGCCCAGACCGATACGACAAATGCACTTCAAAATACCAAAGCTGCAAGGATGTCTCTATCCAACTGTTACCATTAGTCATCTCCACTGGTGAATGTCCATCCTCCACCCCTCCAACCTCCAATACAAGTACACACCTTCCTACTCCTTCACTCTTCACACCTTCTCCTTTACATTTCATTATTTCACTTGTGGTATTGCTTCCTCTTGAACTAACATTCTTCATTCTGATCACAACTGCATTTACATATAGTTAGACAATCATGCATCATACTTGCATTCCACTTAAGGCATAGGAAATCACTAACAATTGGAAAATTTTTGACATTTGATTTCGTAAAAACATAGTGTTCATGTGCATTCATATAGGACTTAGAATTCATGCATTGACTTAGGTTGTAGCTTGCTTGTTTAAAATGAGTGCAATGATAGTGAATCTTTGAAAATGGTAGGGGCTTATGAAATTGATGCCCTTGTTTTTAGTCATTTGATGCATTTGATGAAGCACGTGAAATAAGGCTGAACCCCTCTTTGAAGTTATGAATTTGAAATTTTTGTTTGAAGTTGAAGCTAGCTTGATTTGATCTTGACTTTTATATAAGTGGAACCTTTTTGAACTTTGAATTATCTTGTTTGTGCATTGAAAGTGATTGCATGGCTACCAATATACATACTTGGATCATCTTCTTCCTTTTCACCCCTCTTGATGATCCAAGTAGCTGATCCTCATCATTAAGAGAGAGTTAACCACACCTTGAACCAATCCTTGATTCTAAACACAAACACTATTGTGAGAGTTTGTGAGGCCTTGTATTGCATTTTTGAATTTATCTTGGCAAAAAAATGTTAGGATTAAAGCTGGCAAGGAGGAGCTCTCTTGTAGACATCATATTGTATTTTGAGCTTGATTCTAGGTTATGAGTTTTGGAGAAAGGGTAGAATTAAGTGTTTGAGCTTTGATTTTTGGTATCTTTGAGAAGAAAAGAGAAGTGTAATTGGTGTTATGAAGAAAATGACATTGTGGGGAAATTGATTGTATCTTGTGGTTAAGTGAAAAAGAAGAAAGCTCTAAATTACAAAGAAGAAAAGGCGCCAGCAACAACAAGCTTACAAAGATCTTACAAAAGAAGAAAAATCAGACCAAGCAATCCACCAAAAAGGTGATGAAAATTGGAGCCTATACAACATAACAAAAAAAAGAGCAAGTTCTAAAAGAAGGCAGCCGCACAAGCAACAGAAGAAGAAGTCACCCACATTTCTAGAATAAAAAGATCAAAAGGGCTTTGGGAAAGGGTAGATTTAGGGGTTTATTTTGGGATTTAGATTTAATTATATCATCTGTGGGAAATGGTAGAAGAGAGCTTTGACTTGCATGCATAAGTGTGCTTTTACCTTTAGAATTTTGCCTAAGATAGATTCATTTCAAATGAGAGATCTCCTGTTTCTTTGAACCAAAATTGAATGAGATCATTTTTATCTCATAACCATGTCCCTTGAACCAAATGCCTTCACTTGAGTTGCACAAACTTGATCTATTGGTTACTTGCTAATTGTATATTAAAAAGGTCAAGTGATTTGAGAGCTTATGTAGATTGATAACCAGAGAATCATTTTTATATTGTGATAAGTATGGCTATGTTTTAGAGTACAGTTCCATCATTTGCATTCTAGGACTAGAAACATGGATATCATTTTGATTCATTGCTAGCATTTTAATGATATGAGTTCCTATTTCAAAACTTCATCACCATGCTAAATGTTTTGTTTGCTTGAAGGCAAACAAAGACTAAGTGTGGGGGTGTGGATAGCTTGCTATATTCTAGTGATTTAGGCTGCATTTCATTCATCTTTTCCCCTTTTTTTGCATCATTACTTAGCATTTTAGTCTCATTTGCATTTAGAAGTAACATTGCATGCATTTAGCTTAGGATTGCTTACATGTGCATGTTTGTGGTGTATTTCAGGTGTATTTGGAGGTTTTGGAACTTGGGAAGGAGATTGGAGCAGCACACATTCCAAGAAATTCTATAAAAAGAAGTCTTGCCAACTCTGCGTCCATATCGAGGGACAGCATCGAGCAGAACACCTATGAAGTATGCCTGATGCGAATCGTTGGACAAGGAAGAGGAGTTTGATAGTGGACTTTAAGACTGCATCGGGGCAGAGCATCAAGGAGAGGAGGCCGTACAGGCGGATATGAAGAGACAGGACATATCAGGGTCTAGCATAGAGCTGAACACCCGACAATCTTCCCGATATGACCTAAGACCTGCTGCTTGTCGAACAACCAATGGAATTACCGAACCACAACAAGATATACACCCCAATGCGTCAATACCGAGAGTTGACCAAGCTTTTCCTACATTTGAGAACCCTTATCTTTTGGCTTATTTAAGTTAAGCCTTATCTTTTCTGGCACTTATCTTCTTTCTTATCTTGTTTTCGACCTTGTGGGAAACCACAAAGAGAGTTTATGAGATTTTGATCCAAGATCATCATTTTAATAAAGTTTCACAATTTTCTTGTCATCTATCATCTAGTTTAGCCCTGGGCATAAAAACCAGACCCGAAAAACCGAACCGGAACCGACCCGAAATAGCCGGTTCGGATCGGATTCGGTTATGTGTCATTTACCCGACGGATCTTGAGTTTCAGAACCGTAGATATCGGTTCGGTTCCGGTTCTGACCCGGAGCCGATCGGGTATCCGAAATCAACAACGGCTAACTCTAACCCTACACTCTACACTCTACGATGCTTTTGCCGATTGAGCTTCCCCTAAACAAACTTTCTAATACCCGAGTGTGAAAAATCCCTAAATACAAACTGGAATCCCTAGCCAATTTAGCCGCTTCAGTCACGTCGCCATCGTCTGTGTGGTCGAGAAATCAGTCGGAGGTATGTGTTTCTGTGCCTCTCGATCCTACTCTCCTATTTCTTCATTCGATTCTCAATTTCTGATTGTTGATTACTTGATTGAAAATTTTAAATTCTTAAAAGACCGTTGTTTTGTCAAGTTATTCTCAACTGATTTCTTCAGTAATTTTTTGTCCACGATGGTTGACCATCTCTGATTCTCTATTCCCTAATGGTCCGATTGTTTTGTGAACCCGATTTTGTGTCCTGTAGTTTTATGTTTAATCCGAGTTTAATCCGAGTTTGGTCTTTGTTCTTTCATTCTCTGTTTATTTGGTCTTTGGTCTTTCATGCCGCAGTAGTTCTCATTGCTTGATGTAGATGCTTATTGCTTGATGTAGATGCTTAAGTCACAACTTTTCTGCATATTAATGTAATAATATGTTTGTTTTATCAATCTGATGCAGATGGCATCTTGTGAATCACCGAACAATCAGTTTCCAATGGATGAAGATGGTGTTGACGGATCAGATGAAGATATAGAAACTCATTCTCCGGGATATGGAAAGAGGAACGCTGAATCAGGGGTTAATGGTTCTGGTACTGGATCAAGGAAGAAGACAAGGTCTTGGCTTTGGGATCACTACACGAGACATGAAGACAACTATGCCAAATGCAATTGTAATTATTGTGGGAAAGAGATGTCCTGCCCAACAAAGTCTGGCACATCTAATCAGAAGAAACACTTAAGCGGCTGCAAATCGTACCAGGTATGGATAGCTGCTAACAAGTCTAAGAAGCAGTCTGTGTTAACTCCTGATAAGGAAGGGAATCTAGGCATGTGTAAGGTATCTGAGAGAATGTTTAGGGATGCTACAAACGAGATGATAGTGTTAGCAGAATTGCCATTAGCATTTGTAGAGAGCTTGGCTTGGAAGCATTTTTGCTCAAGAGTGAAGTTGTGTAGCCCTCATTCTCGGAGAACATGTACGAGAGATGTTGTAGAGATGTTTGTGTCAAGAAAAGCAGCTATGAAGAGTATTATTGGGAAGAACAAGTAGAGAGTATCGCTGACTACGGATATATGGGTTGCTCCTTATACTAAAGCTAGTTATATGGTTATAATTGCGCATTTTGTTGATGCTTGTTGGCAGTTAAGGAAATTCATCATAGGCTTCAAGAATATTTATGATCATAAAGGTGCAACGATCTCTAAGGTCCTTCTTGATTGTTTAGAAGAATGGAATATCAAGAGAGTCTTCTGCATTACAGTAGATAATGCTACAGCTAACACTTCTGCTATGAAGAGGTTCAAAGAAGGATTCAGTAAAGTTGGTGATGATGCTTTCGTTCTGAAAGGTGCTCATTTTCATTTAAGGTGCTTGACTCACATTTTAAACTTGATTGTAAAGAAGAGCTTGATGGAGTTAGACGCCAGTATCAATGCTATTCGAAATGGTATTCAGTATGTGAGATCTTCAACACCCCGACTCAAGTCTTTTGAGTTTCGTGTAGAATCAGGAATGATCACAAGAGGAAGCTTGCCCTTAGATGTCACGACGAGATGGAACTCCACGTATCTCATGCTTTATCAAGCTATGAAGTTTAGATTGGCATTTGAGAAGATGGAGGCTGAAGATAAACCTTATTACGACTACTTCCTAGAAACTGTGGAGGGAAAGAAGAGGGTCGGACCACCATCTACAAATGATTAGGCAGAAGTTGAGAGGTTGATTCAGTTCCTTATCATTTTTTACAATTCGACTTTGAGTCTTTCAGCTTCTACTTCGACAACGGCTCACAAAATCTACTCAGAGATAGTCACCATCACTAGGATGGTCAGTGCAATCAGCAACAACACAGGTCCTGATGAAGAGCTAAGGTACAAAGCTTTTGATATGATGACGAAGTTAAAGAAATATTGGAATCCATTTTGGGAAGAAACAAGTGGGAACGCCAATACGCAAAACCGAGAGATGAACAAGCTTCTGATAGTAGCATGTGTTTTTGACCCAAGGAAGAAGATGAAGTTTGCTCATCTCTGTTTTGAGAAGCTGTATGGCTGTGAAAGCATCGAGTATAATCTTCTCTCGGAATCAGTGAAAGATATATTGAAGAGCTTGTTTGAAGAGTACAATAGTTATGCGACAGCTACTAGTGGATCTGGTAACACTAGTTCTCAGTCACAAGCAACATCATCTACACAGTCTCAAGATCAAGTTAGAGGTGAAACATTTGAGAGAAGGGTTTTGATTAATGGTGTTGGATATGAACGGATGGATACTCTGTACGAGGAGTTTATGGAAGAATCTGGCGTTCCAGAATCAGTTAACTTGTTGGAGTACTTGAAGGAACTGGTTGAACATCCAAAGCTTATGAAAGGTACAGAATATGATATCTTAGATTGGTGGAGGAGAAACAGTCTCAAGTTCCCAGTTTTATCACTTATAACTAAGGATATATTTGCAATGCAAGTGTCCTCAGTAGCATCAGTGGGAGAGTATTAGACCCGTATAAGAGCTGTTTGACACCGTACATGGTTGAAGTGTTGATATGCACTGAGCAATGGTTGAAGTGTGAAATTCATATGAATGAAAAAGGAGTGATTACAATTGAACAACTATTGCTGGAAGTAGAGTTGCAAGATGAGCTTATGAGAGGTAACTTCTTTCTTTTGAATTTGCTCTTCATATGATTTTTTAATTTTAATTTCTAAACTTATGTTTTTCATTGTTCTTTTAGAGTTTGATCCTGAATTCGACATGCAAGGACTTTGACAATGAGCTATTTTGTCTCGCAGCTCTTGCTAATAGCTAGCCATGTTGTGTTTGTTGCTTAAGTGTCCTAGTTGTTTTTATATATTTAAGTCTAAGATTGAGCATCGGTTTTTATAGGAAGTAGAGATCAGTGAAGAGTGAAGACTGAAGAGTGGAGAATGAAGAGGGAAGAGGTCACTTGATGGGGATTTTCTTCAATCTTCACTAAGAGTCTAAGAGGTCTTTTATTTCATATGAACACAAGTATGACTCATTTAATCATTTTGATGCTTTTGTCTTGGAAATGTTTGCATTTTGTACTCCATGTTATCTCTTCTTTTTTAGGATTTGAATTGGTATTTTTCTATCAAATGGTGGCTAAAATGTTGTGTTTGGAGTTTATTTGTTTTCGGGTAAATGCTTACATTTCGGGTAGGTAGGTAAACAAGTATTATTTTGGTTCCATTTGGGTAAAAAAAACCGACCCGAACCGAATTTCGAGGAGAACCGATTTATTTTGGGTTTTTTACGGATCTGATATTTGAGAACCGAATCTACCCGGAACCGATAGGTACCGAACCGAACCTGACTCGAAATGTTTTCGGTACCTATGTGGGTAAAAAACTCTCCTATCCGAAAGACCCGGAATCGATCGATTCCTACACCAGAACCGAACCGAATACCCGAATGCCTAGGGCTACTCTAGTTTCTGTTTAATCATGTTTGCTTTGTTCGGTTGATCTCATGATGTGTTGTGAGTAGTCTCCTATTGTTTGAGGTTGGAGCAGATTTTGGGATGATTAGTTGATAACTTCGGGTGTTTGGTTTAGTTCTTTCTTGAATCACCTTGCTTAGTTGTTCTTAAGGCTTCAGTAGCTTATCTTAGTGAAATCAGATCATAGGTGTTTGCTGCATAAAAAATGTTTGTTTAAACGCCTGAAAGAACTAGGTTTGGGATAATTGCTTAGATGATTATATTGCATCTTAGTACATTTTATGGTCTTTAAGAGCCTTGTGTTATCATGCTGGTTTTGTATAAATACGCCATCAAAAGTGGGTCTGACGTGTGCATTACTTAGACAGATTTGCTCTGATTGCAGATTGATTGAATTAATGCCTTGATCATTTTCTTAGCTTGTTATTTGTCTTGATCACCCTAGGTTTGATATTAATTAATCCCCACGTCATGATTGCTCTAGCTTTGAATCTGAACATCCTTATTGTTCTTTGCATTTGATCATATTGTGTTCTGTTTTTCTCTGATTTAAGTTGCTTTGCTCTTGTTCCATTTATTGCCTTGCATTTCCAGTTATTGAATTATCTTTCATCATCATAGAAATTGTTGAGAAAGGTGTTCTTGGTGTCCTCCCAAGTAGTCAGAGATCCATGCTTCAGTTGTTTCAGCCAGTAAGCTGCATCCCCACCAAGAGAGTATGGGAAGAGCTTGCAGAGAAGGTCGTCATTGCTGACTCCATAAGCCTTGATGCTTGTAACCAGATCCTCAAACCTTTCAATGTGGTCCATTGGGTGCTCACGAGGAAGACCGTGGAAAGGATGCTGAGCCACAAGTGTGTAGTAGGCAGGCTTCACGTCAAAGTCATTCCTCTGGAAGGCAGGAGGGCGGATTGCAGCTGTATTTGCATAGAACTAGTCTGGTATGTTATAATCTCCTAGAGTACGCTGAAGAAAACGCACAGCAACGTTTCATTCGCCATTCCATGTGCATGCAAGCTGCTGATTCTGCACTGGTAACACTGCTTGTTCGACTATCATAGTCCCATCATCAGCAAGTCGCTGCCCTTCTTAATTTCGCATGTTACCCTCTGCATCATACAGCACACCATCTTCACCTTGAATCAGCACTAGTGGAGCAACCATCTTAAATAGTTTTTTTCCTTTCTGGTTTGTTTGCTCTACACGTGCTAGTGTCTGGTTGTCCAAGTCGATCAGCCCCTTTTCCTTGTTTCTTCTGGTACTGCGATTAGGCATGCACCTGAAACAGACAAAAAAGTGTTAGTAACAAAAACAAAAACTAAGACAGAATTCTAAAACTGAAAAGCTGAAGGCAACTATTAAGTCCCAGACAACAGCGTCAAAAACTTGATAGGTTCTAAGTTTCACCTAAAAAAAACTACTGCAAGTGCATATCAAAGCAGATGTAATCTAAAGAGTATTGAAATCCCAAGAGACTTAAGGAAGCCACACAACATATTCTACATTCGAATTAAGCTAAGAGAACTGAATAAACTACTCAGACATGGTGAATGAAACAAACATCATGAATAGAATAGATTTCATAAAAGAAATAAGAAATAGAGATAAAGGAGTTCAAAATCTGCTATGAAGGAGTCTGATTTGTCTCTCCAAAAGCTCTGCTACAAATCTTTGTCTTTGTCTCTCTCGGAATTTAGATACAAACCAAATAGTGGTTGAAAAACCTAAAATATAGACTAAAAACGAATTGGGGTCTTTTGCAATTATTGAAAATTCTGGACCAAAACTGCAATTCTTCCTTTAACTTTTAATTAGTCTGCAATGCTTCAGTAATGGGTGACGAGCGTCACCTAGCAAGTAGTGACAATCGTCACCATAGGATAACCACTTCTTCTTGTTGCCTCATCGGGAAGAACTCCTGTTTTGCTCCATAATGCTCCAGAATCTCCAATTATGCTCCAAACACCCATTAACTTGTAAAGACACGAATGGGACTGTAAAAAGACCAAAAAGACTAAAATAAGATTATATCATGGTTAAAAACCATAAAAGCCATGATATACTTAGCTTTTGCTTGCCCTCAAGCAAACAGAAGACAAAAAACAAAGTCGAGGTTTGAAAACGTGGAAACTCACATGCTCATAGATCATTGTTTTCACTGTTCATCTTGTAATCAACACACTCCATTTCTTAAACAAAATCAGACCACCATGTACTTCTCTCCTTAGACATTCACATCATCCCAAATTCAACTCATAAACTCACAGCATTGTCCAATAACTATCCTTGCTAAACCTCATTAGCAGTCTAAATATTCAAGAACCTTCTAGATTCATTCACATACTATACCTTGATAAATTTGCACTGCAATCAATCAACCTTTGATACTCTTTCTGTCCCCCGGACTTATTCTTTTCTTATGTTTCATTATATTACTCAGGTGTAGGTAAATAATGGCATCACGGGATAATCCTAACTTTACTTCCATCTCTGATCACCTCTTTGAAATGAAATAACGGGATCACATGAAATTTTCCTACCTATACCGAAAGAGAGTCATCTCAAATTTTCAACAAGATCAATTTTTTTTTGACAAATGAGAGGAGTACCATCACTTTTCAAACATTGCAGGCAATTATCAAGTATAAATGAGGAATAAAGCTCTATGAACATCAAAATTACTAAATTAGTCTTTTTGAAGCTCAAGTTAAATGGACTTTGTTGGAACTATAGATGTTTCTAGTTAAATGGTCATCCTAAGCATTTTTCATTAGTCAGAAATTGGAATTAATCATGCAGCAATGGTCGCTCAGATGAAACAATCAATACAAACAATCAAGAAAAGGTTCCTAGTTCCCAACTAAATTTTACTCAATAAAACAAGTTTTTGACACAACTGAATTTCTCTCAAAACAAAACACAATGTCAGCAACAACCTCCCCCAGACCCAAACATCACTGTCTCAAGTGTTACTAAGCCCGAAGTTGGCAAAACAGATAAACTAGAACGGACAGAAGAGAGAAAACCAAGTGTTTCCCGGAGTCTATAGCTGGTGACGCTCGTCACCCCTCCTTGGTGACCACCTCGGTGACTACCTAGGTCGTCACCACTTCGTTAAACCACATCATGAATGTTAGAAGAACAAAAATAAGTATATATATATATATATATATATATATATTTGAATTAGATGACTTACCAGTGGGTTTCCTCCCACCAGCGCTTGTTTTCAGTCATTAGCTTGACTAAGTCGGGGTTCAGACATCTGGTGGATCAGAAAGTGAATGCCTCGGAGAAGAATGTCTTCTCATCCATGGTGGTGTATAAGAAGTAGGTGGATGAAATCTTCCAAGGAAGGGAGGAAAACCAGCAGGGCAGGTTTTGACTATGGGTGGGACACTTTTTTCAGGCAGAATCATCAAAAGAAACACCAAACCCTCTATGAGAATCTCGTTGCTTGCATAAGTGTGAAGCAGCTTTTGCATCTTTCTCAGAATTCTCATCCAATGCCTTATGAACAACCAGCTTGTTCACTTGCTCACTAGTATCTGATTCATTAACATACCCAGCAGTATGATACAAGAGTTTTGAGTCTCTTTCTCAATCACCCTTTATACTAGTCATTGTAGTAAGGGTTTTATGTAAATCCAAAAGGGGAAGATTGAAGCAGTAGGAATGCAATAGAGCTCTTAATTCAAGCAGATATAGATAAGATTAAAGTCTAACAACCTAAATGATCAAACAGAACTGAAGCAAACACCATACTAAGAGTGAACAGCAAGCAAAATAACTAAAGCATTAGCAAAAATAGAGCAATTTTGAAATAAACTAAAAGAGAGGAAAGACAAGACTCGGGATGGGATAATTGGTGTTAGGGAACTCTCAACTCAACCTATGATGCTTACAAACTCACATAATGCTATTTATTATGAATAGAATTCATTTATAAGACTAATACAATCACTTGGCACTAATCTCTCTATTAATTACCAAGTCAAGAACTAATTCTCATTAGTGAAATGATAAACGACAAGCATTAAGACAATCTATCAATCCTATATTGCCAAATCAGTCCCTAGACAGTCAATCTCTTGAGCTAGGATAAGCAATTCTCTTGCAAAGCACATCAGACATTTTATCAAACACTTGGTGGGCATAAAATGAGCCTAAGATTCTAATCAACCTAGCTAAGGCTAATCATGCATTAAACACAGAAAATAAGAAATAAATAGAAGAATTAACACTAAGCAACCATAGATCAAGCATCAAATTCCCTAAACCTAACCCATCTCTAATCCATAAGTCACTACTCACTAAGCACCATCAAAACCATCAATCCAAAGAGAAATAGATAGCTAATCATGATTAGGAAGATTAAACAAGAAGTGAAATCCAAATCTATATTGAAATCAAC